TCTCTCCCCAGCGCGGGCCTGCTTTCTGGATCCGCGTCCTTCCTCTGCGTCGTCGCCCCCCTTTTCCCTCCTCCACCTTCCCCTGGTCCTCCAACACATCCCGCTCCTCCTACCCCTGCTCCTACTGCTGCTGCAATTCCTCCTCCTCCTCCTCATCATCATCCTCTCCATCCTTCCTCATCTTCCCGCTCATCATCCCGCCCATTCCCCTTGCTTATGCAAAAGTCCTTCCAGTCGCACTCCCAGGCGTTTCGGTAAGGCGCGCTGGACGTTTCGCCTAAGATTTCCTCAGCAAGTCTGGTCCTGAAACTTGACATTTGCAACAATTTCACGGATGGAGGGCGGGCTGCTTCTTTTATTGTGGCTCTCACCTTAGCGCCGCGCACACTCGTCTTACGGAAAAAGGTGCAATAGCTTCAAGGATGAAGGACCGGCCGTCTTTCAAAAAGTGGCTCTCGCCTCAGCACCGCACACATTTGTCTTAAAATGGTGCAGCAGCTTCAAGGATCGAGGGCCGAACGTCTTTCAAAATGTGTCTCCCGCTCCAGCGCAGCGCTTGTTCGTCTTAGTGTGCAACAACTTCAAGGATGGATGACTGGCCGTTTTTCAAAATGTGGCTCTCGCCATCGCTGAGACCACGTTCGTCTCAATTGTGCTACAGTTTCAGGGGTTCATATGGGTGAAGTCCCAAAGATGGTTTCTGACAGGTTGATTCGCGGCGTTGAAGTCCCAGGAACTGCGTTCTGGCACCATCCAGGATTGCCAGGACGCAGCAGTCATGTTGATCCGCGGCGCTGATGTCCCACAACTTCTGGTTTGGCACGATTGGGAATTGTCACGGTTGTCTTCTAATGGGCCACTTCCCGCAGTGAAAGTAAATCATTGCAGGGACATGTGGACAGGGAACTTGGAGATAGTTGTTGCTGAAACATCGTTGACGCGTCTTTCGTTTGTACTGGTCCTCCTCTTTAAACTCCCCCACTGTGCACAGATCACCGTCTGCGCGCGCAGAGGAAAGGGGTGTAGTGGAGAGGAGAGGTGAAGACCAGAGAGGATAGGACCAAACGAAGGTTAGCTCGGACATGTCCTCCTACAGACGGGTGTTGGACGACAACAAAAAAACGTCAAAACATTCAAACAGATCAACCAGAGCATGAAAAAACGACCCCAAACTATGGTTCAGCTATTCTTGATTATTCCTCCTGTAGAGGGACATGCCCGACTTACTGAGGATCGTTTATCCGATCCCCGTCCCCAGCGGCGTGGCCTGGGCCCCACTGGCCGATTTACCCCCCTAGATGGGGATATGGGTCGTACCCTTCGGGTTTCGAGGGGTGTATTCCCAAGTGGGGTGGTAATCTAGTGGGGGTCTCGAAGGGGATGGGGACGGTGACGAGGATCGGATGAAGGATTCTGACTTACCACTAGCGTTGTGGATGCCATGACAATAGACACTCTAACAATCCGATCATTGAATTAAACATGTGTTTAACATGTGTAAGACCTGTTCAACCAATTTTTCAAACATGGATCTACATGTTTAAATCATGTTTGAAACATCGTTTCGACATCTGCAAATTATTTGGAAACATGCTTCCTCTCCATTCATCGACTTCCGCAACACTAGCGCCGCATATGACATCGCCCCCCTCCCACCAGCCCCTTCCCGCTGCGCCGACGTGCCTCTATCCGCCGGCGCGTGCGGGGGCGGACCCGGAAACCCCATAAAGGTGCACGCCGTCAACCGTGCGATGCGCAAGCAGAAAAGCAAGGATCTGATTGCACAGGACACGCTACAGGACACAAGACTCTTTCGACGGCAAGATGGCCTCCAACAGGGGTGCCTGCAACATGGCCTCCAACATGGCCTCTTCCCAGGACTGCAAAGAACACGACGCGCGATGCATAGGACACAAGAGTACCCTTGATGTGGCAGGGTTGACCTACTAATCCGGAGCGACTGTACGCTGGAGGGCAAGGTGGCGGACGAGCAAGCAGGGATGAACCTAAACAGCGTGTTTCGTTTTCGCTTTGCTTTCGTTGTCCCTAGTTTTGTCTCCAATCCGCCTTTGCTGCAAAACGAGATCGAAACGAATACGGCTCACGAAATCGCCAAAACACCATTTAGGTCCACCCCTGCGAGCAAGAGGAAGTGGAGGAGGACGAGGATTCGCTGGAAGGATTCGCATCGTTGCCGTCATCGCGGCTACCGATCCCCGCGCCTCGCAACACCTCGGTGAGAGCCGAAACCAGCCCCAGGATCCTGGAAGAACAGGACCTGTCTTCAGTACTCGGGCGCATCACGCAGCAACTCGGGCATCACAGGCTGGGGACCTCCTAGCAACCCAGGTCCGATCCGCCGTGCAGCCACAAGGCTGCCTCTACGACGCGACAGAGACGAGGAGGGCCCTCGGATCCAGAAGTCGGGCCCGCGCCGGGGCGGGAGCGCCATTCTGAACGACGGGAGCGAAGCGCCGATACTGAGATGATGCCGAAACTG